CTTGGAATTTTATTAAAAAAACAATTGAGATATGCTTTAACAATTTATATGCTACGCTCTCGTTGATGAAATGCTATGGTTTACCAATTGTTAATATCTTGATGACATGCTATATAGGTTTTATATGCTCTTTGTATGTGAAGCTATAGTTTATCAATTGTTAATTTCTTGATGATATGCTATAGAGTTTTTACATGCTCTTTGTATGTAAAGCTATAGTTTATCAATTGTTAAATTCAATAAATTGATATATATATATATCATATAACTATGATAACAAATTATATTTTACTAGATTATCATTAACTAAATCTATATTCACATTCTGATATATTGATCAGAAACGTTTAAAATTAAGGTAATTTCGTAAAAAATATCATTAATTATTAGCCTCGCGCGCAAAATACCATTATTATTTTTTAGCGCGAAATATCGTTATTTGTTTTCGCTCAAAATTATTGGTTGAAAACATAAAAACAAAATTATGAAAAAGAGAGAAGAACCTTGGTTAGTAAATGAGCAATAAAATCAGAACGAGCGGCTATATATAGGTTCCCCAAACTTGATAGTGTTTTTCATATCGAAGATGAGACAAGGCATTTGCTTCCAAACATGCTCCCATCTTTTGGACAACACACTTGTCTGGATCGCCTTTTCTATGGGATTTCTCTTTAGGATCATGAGCAACACATCGTCAGGGAGTTTGCTAATGAAATCAAGTTTGCCGATGAAGGTCTGTTTGCCTTTTTTATCAGACGATGATGATGTAGGCATGGGTGGGATTTGTGGTAAAGCAAATGGGGTTTGAGGGAAAGACATGGCGAAAAGAAATGATTTTGACTTGGACACTAAATTATAGAAGAAAGGATGTGAGATTCTCTAGGACTTAGGAAAAGAGGAGAAAATGAAAAGATACCGATGGATAAAGACAACCAAATTATCTGGATGCGATTGTTCTTACAAAAATTTCAAACCCTAATTTTATTTCCATTTAATCAATTTAAGTTTTTTTTTTTTTGGTTTTTAATTATCCTTTTTGACATTTTATAAAAATGGAAAAGAATCTGACATTTTGTGCCATTCCGTTTTCAGATATAATGTACAAAATAAAATTTCCTTTCTGCTTTTTGTTTTAATTGCCAAACATTAACAAAAATCTACTATGGTTTTAATTAGGTGTGACAAGCTGGATTAAAACCCACCCTCTTAAGTCTTAAGCACATGCATATCGTTGGATTCTTTTATGTTGTAACTTAATTTTTTAAGTCAATGAAATTGTTCTTATTTCTGTGTATACAAATTCTCTCTTTTTTAAATTATTTGACATGTTTTATGTTATTGTGTGTCATTTATGTTTTTCGCTGTATACACGTAATACACTTCTGAATAAAAGGAAAACTATTTTAAAATAAAGGAAACAAGAGTTTTAGAAGTTTAAAAAAAAAAAAAAGAGTTTTAGATACATGAACCAAAAGAAAATTATGTGGTGTGAAATGTGCTACAATTTGGAACCTTTTTTCAGTCAAAATAGTATTTGTAATATTAGCTTTTATGTCACCAAAATAACTATTTTTCCATATTAGCTGTAATATTCAAAAATTTACAGGTACTGTAGATATATTATAAACAATGTTAAGTTTTATCAGTATTCGTAGTCTTTTTCTCTCTCTTGACAACTTTCTCTCTAAAGTTCTTCTTCTACAAGCATAAAAGTGTTCTTCCGGCCGGCAGTTGCCGGTCCGGTTTGTTTTTTATGTTCATTTTTTTTTGTTTTCTTGTTTATAGTTTCGATCTATGTATTCCGGCTAGATTCGGGGTCTGGGTTTGTTGCCGAGTTTGATCGGTCTCGTTTTCTGGGCTTGGATCTATGTCGGTTTTTATTCCGTATATATCGGATATGGTTCCGACTTTGTTCGGTTTGTTTTTCCGGCTTTGTCCGGTTCTCTATGGAAAGATTCCGACTAGTCTTGATGCGGTTATCCGGCTTGACCGGAGTCAATAATACCGGCGACGACCGGTTTTTTTGTTGCATGCCCCGATCTCTTCCTAGTTTTGATTGCTTTCGTCGTTGGTTTTCTTCTAATTTTCTTTGATTTTCTCTTTTCTTTGAAGAGTAATATCTTCGTCATGGACCCTGTGCTTACAACGCATGAGCAAAGTTGGAGAACGGTCTACATCATCGTTAGGTGTAGCGGTGACGGAGTTTCCCCGGAGTAGGAGACTTTCAAAGGATTTTTGAAGTGGATTGATGCCCGTATTCAGATGTCTCGCCGAGTTTAATGGTGGAGTTTTGAGATCGGCGGAAGGGGGCTGGATTCTTGTCGCTTCAGGGATGATTAGTGGTGGCTAATCGGAGTTTCGATGGAGGTTCGGTGTTCGTCGGCGAAGATTAGCAATGGTGCACGATGGAGTTGATGTGTGGTTTTCGGAGGACCACGTGTCACTGGCTAGATCATGTTTTTAGGATTATCTTTATCTTTCTAAAAATGTGATTTAGATTAGTTTGTTAATTTTCGTTTGTGCCATGCCCTTCTGTAATTGCCCAATGGGCTTATCAATGAAATCATGTTGCCAACAAAAATATTATAAACAATGTTAACTATTTGTTGGACGCATGGGCCTAAACAATTAACTTATTAAGGAACGGAATTTGGGCTTTGGTCCATAATTACTGGCCCAAAAGTGATGTATTCGTCGGAGCGTGAGTACCACTCTCTTAGAAGGCGCGTTAGTGTTTATACAGCGTCAAACCGGACCAGACCGGGCTCAAGACTCTTTTTTTTCTCTCTCACAAAACGTAGCTTCTTCACTCGGAGAAGAAGATCAATTCTCCGCCGTAGTTTTTCTCCGATTGAGATTATTCGATTCTCTGTTTCTGGAGTGATTCAAAACCCTAATTTGATCCTTCTGATTTTTATTTCTACATGGGCGAACAATCCCCTTCTCAACCATCGACTCATACCCAAACTCGACCACAATCTCCCAAACCCGAAACTCATAACCTAATTCCGCCGGAATCCAGCGATGTATGTGTCGATTCCGCCGGAGTTTCCGGCTCCATCGTTTCATCCACCACCATAGATGATCAACGGATCACAGAATTAGGTAATGTCTCGTCTCCGCCTTCCAAAATCCCTCTCCGTCCTCGGAAAATCCGGAAGCTTACACTCGACGGAGAAGCCACCGGTGATTTGAATCCTCACGATGAAGACTGTAAAGCGGAGGATATACCCTCCAGGTTAACCTCGCCGCTCTCGACGGCTGGAAAATCCGCCGGTAAGGGTAAACTGTCGCAATCACGCGCCATTACTGTACCGAGGATCCAAGCTCGGTCACTCTCATGCGAAGGAGAGCTCGAGGCAGCGATTCACCATCTCCGTAATGCGGATCCTTTGCTCGCCGCGTTAATCGAAGTCCATCCTCCTCCGACGTACGAGTCATTTCAGACTCCGTTCTTGGCTCTGATACGAAGCATACTCTACCAACAGCTTGCAGCTAAAGCCGGACAATCCATCTACACACGATTTGTTGCTCTCTGCGGCGGTGAGAACTTCGTCGTCCCTGAGACCGTCTTATCATTAAACCCGCAACAGCTTCGTCAAATCGGCGTCTCGGGAAGGAAAACGAGTTACCTTCACGATCTCGCTAGAAAGTATCAAAACGGAATCTTGTCTGATTCAGCAATTGTGAACATGGATGATAAGTCTTTGTTCACGATGCTAACGATGGTTAACGGAATTGGGTCATGGTCTGTTCATATGTTCATGATAAACTCACTTCATAGACCCGATGTTTTGCCGGTTAATGATCTCGGTCTTAGGAAAGGCGTCCAGATGCTGTATAACTTAGAGGAGTTGCCTCGGCCATCGCAAATGGAACAGCTTTGTGTCAAGTGGCGACCTTACAGGTCAGTGGCTTCGTGGTATATGTGGCGGCTCATTGAAGCTAAGGGTACACCAACGAGTGCTGTTGGTGTTGCAGCCGGAGCTGCTATGTCGTTGCCGCCATTAGAGGACATTCAACTAGAACATCAGCAGCAGCAACAACAGTCACAGCTTCTAGATCCTCTTAATAGTGTGTTCAGTATTGGGTAAGTATGGCTTGTTTCTTTCTGTTTTTAAAGTTCTTAGAGTGCAAAATTTGGCCTGTTGCTTTACTTAGCTTTCTGTTTTCGTTAGCTTTAAAGTTTTGGTAGATAGAATATGTGGCTACTGTTACTTCCTGCGAATGCAAACTAATATGTTTGGTTTGGTTCCATTAAGATTAATATCTGTGAATTGTGGAATGTGCTTATGGATACAAACCAATATATTAGTTTGCCTTCAGGTATACAGTAGACTGATAATGAGCTTACATGTCATGTGTGCCAAAAAGTAGTTGCTTGAAACGCATGATGTTCCAACACAACCATCTAATGGGGTAGTGAGGCTGTTAATCATTGCCTGGATCGATGTTAAATTGATTAATCATGATTTTAATGGACAGATATCTTCCTTCTAATCTTTTGCTTTCTCTCGATGTATTGGTTATGCTCGATTTTCTTAGGTTTGGTCAGGCTTAAACCTTTTTCTTGATTCGTTTGACCCATTCCAAGAAACATGATATCGAATACGAGTTAACATACTACATTGTAATTGTAGCTAATCAATTTGTCTTTTCTGATTATCTTTCCATAACTCTTGAACAGGGCTTGGGGACAATCGTAGCCTGGCCTCCCACTTTGTTGTCTTTGTTCCTGGATAATTTGACGGCTTATGGGAGTTCTTGTTCCGGTCTTTGGCATTTTTCTAGTAAAAAAGTATACCAGAAAGAATAAAAGGAACTTTTTTAGGTTGGGTTCCTTGAGACACAAGGTGAAGGACCAGAGAGCTGCATGATCTTCTTTCTTAAGCTTGAGTCAAAGAGTCTGTAATTTTCACAGTATCTAATAACAAGCGTCTTCTTTATTTTTTTGGCTGCAGAGCTAACTCTAGACAGAGCATTCCTCTTCATGTGTGTAAAGAAACAGAACCACATTTCTCTATATCATCCTTGCTTGGTCCTTTCAAGTGTGTAAAGATCCATCTCTAACAATAATAATAGGGAACTAAGAGTTACAAGAAACTCCTAGATTATGCGACGCCGTTTTGGATATAGGTAGGAATATCTTGAAGCCCATTAAGGGCCCAATATCTGAACTAAAAAAAACAAAAAACATATTTGTAAATTTCAATAGTCACGTTTCGATCTCTGGACGGGAGGAAAAAGTATCCAAGAGTAAGAGTTGTGCCCGTCCTCGCCGCAAACCGTCGTTCTTGTCGCCGGTGAGTTCTGTTCAATCGTCTTCCTAATCTGTTCTTCCCTTTCCCTCGGTCCTTTTTTCTAGATCTGTTTTCAAAATTTCTGAGCAACTTCATTGTTGCTAACCTTTTATTAAACCCTAGCTCTTCTCTGTATCTGCTTCGTCGAGATTGAAAAAAAAAAGAACAGTTGAATTCCGCTTTCGGACATAGTAGAGATTCAGCAAAACGTCGATTGTCGTTGGGTACTAATTGGTTAAACTCTTACTTGTGTTTTTCAGGAAGGAGTTGTGGACTAAAAACAAACAGATCAATGGATGAAGAAGAGCTTCCAAGAAGTGGTGAAGAAGAATGTAGAATATCACTGTTTGATTACTCAGTTGAGAATCATTTGAAGGCGGTGGAATCGATCAGTGATCTCTGTGGTGAAGCTAATACTGATATTAATGAGACTGTTATGAACAGACTATCATCATCAGTTACATTCTTGAGGTGCGTAAAAGAGTTCAATTATACGTATAAAGTTCTTCTTTTTCTTTACTTTAGTACTGTTTATAACCGTGGCCATATGCTTAAATGCTTAAGATCTATTGCAACATAAGCACATTTAGAGTAGCTAGAAATACAAACCAAACGAAAAGGAATATATGTTTCTAGTTTTCTTCCTTCTCCTTATGCAACTGTGCTTAACCATTTGAGAAACCTGCTGATCAATGTGAATTACATTGTTATAGAAAAAGGTTTCTCAATGTGGCAATGCAAGGATTCTATTCGTTGATATAACACTCAGAAACCTAATCTCATCTGCCGAAAAATTAGGGAATGGAGGCATTTTAATTTTGAACCAAAAAGTTTTGGATTTTATGACGAGGCTGAAAAAAGCCGCGAACAAACGAATAGTCAAACTTTGCCTCAATTTTCTTCAGCACGAGCTCCTAAGGTGTGCCATATCTTTACACTTAAATATTATTTTTGACCTTGGTTCTTACCTTACGCTTCTTTAATTGCGTTAACGACAATGCTTGAATCAGTATTCTTATTGCTGCAGGATTTGATACATGACGATGAATCATCATCATCTGGTGAACCTAGGTAATAATAAAAATTTTATATGAGCTGTAATCATTTAAATCGTTCAACGGGTTCAACTTGGAGTTATAGAAGATATACAATTAATCTTGACGATGGGAGGTGATCATAGGTTTCCCCACTTCAGTGAATGAAAATTCGCAGATTTGCTAAGTCTTAGGTTCAAATTTATGGTGTTTCTTATGGAATTTGGTGATTGAATTAAGCTGCTACGTACCAGGTCTTGGTTAGTTATTAGCTAGTGACAGTGCTTCGTTGTGTTTATATCTCTGATCTTGTCTATTTTTAATTATCAACGAGAATTGCTCTAGTCATGATCGTTTACATGATGGATCATTCACCTCTGCAGCAAGGATTTTATTATGCATGTTGGAGGCTCTGTCTGGGCATTAGAGTGGTGTCCCAGAGTTCATGAAAATCCAGATGCTCAAGCAAACTGTGAGGTGATAAGGTCATATTTTCTGTTTTCTTACTCTGTAGAAATGAAAGGCTTAGGTTTTCATTGTTATGATCTTTCATTGTTGCAGTTTCTAGCTGTGGCTACTCATCCGCCTGGATCATACAGTCACAAGATAGGTTTTCCACTTACAGGCAGAGGCATTATTCAGATATGGTGTATTATAAATACCAGATGCAAGAAAAATAGCACCCAATTTACAATGAAGAGTCAAAAGTTGATAGGAAAGACTCAAAAGAAACCATCTGGTGAAACTATTGAAATAACAGAACCTAAAAAGCCGAGAGGCAGGCCCAGGAAGCATCCAATAGAGACAACAGAGCCTAAGAAACGAAGAGGAAGACCTAGAAAGAATACTTCTGAGTTACCTATTGAGCTTGATGGTGACGTTCTATATGTTGAAGCTTTGTCTGTTCGTTATCCGGAAGAGTCAGTTGTTCCCGCTACTCCTCTTCAGATTCTAAGAGAAACTTCAGTTACAGAAACTAAAGTCAATAATGAAAGCACAGAACAAGTGTTGTCTTCTGAAAATGCAAATATCAAACTTCCCGTACGGAGAAAGAGACAAAAAACCCAAAATACTGAAGAAAGTTGCAAACCCATGATATCAGAAGATAGTGAAGATGTTGGAAATGTACTATGCGAACCGTCCTCAGATATTTCTGAAGACATTGCTCTTCCAAGGGTTGTTTTATGCCTGGCCCACAATGGAAAAGTTGCCTGGGATATGAAATGGCGTCCCTCGTGTGCAGATGATCCTTTTAGTGAGCATAGAATGGGATACTTAGCCGTCTTGCTGGGGAATGGAACTCTGGAAGTGTAAGCTAGCTACTTCTTTTCCTCTTTCTTTCACCTAATGCATTCTATGCCCTGCACGATTTTCTCTTTTTGCTTTGATTTCCTAGCACTGCCACGTTTGTGAATGCCTCCTTGTCTTTCTTGTCAACTGCATTGAGATATTTTGTTTCGTTTGCTATGTAAAATTAGCTTGTGTAATCATATTTGCAATCTGCAATAATGTAGCACCTTTCTAGGCTCCATGTAATACATAAAATGATGAACGACCTTATGCAGGTGGGATGTTCCAATGCCTCAAGCAATATCAGCTTTATATTCATCTTCAAAGAAAGCTGCGACTGATCCTCGTTTTGTGAAACTGGCTCCGGTTTTCAGATGTTCAAAATTGAAGTGTGGTGACGCACAAAGGTTAGTGGGTGTCTTTCATATAGCCAGTTTTTCCTTGTTTGGTGGTATGGAAAACAAAGCAGTCGCACATATATTATCAAGCATATAAATTGATTTTACTTGTTTTGATACGTTCTCAATATCTGTCTCTATTGGGTTTCTTATATGGTGCTTATCTATTATCTTACAGTATTCCTTTGACAGTGGAATGGTCGACTTTAGGGAACCCTGAATTCTTACTGGCTGGTTGCCACGATGGCACGGTAATTACTAAATCTTTCTTCACAATCTACACCCTACTTTTACCTCCTTTTTTCTTTCATGTGTGAGTGTTTTCAAGAATAAGAATTGTAGTGCTTAATTTCTTGACTCCCTGTTTCTGTTATCTTGCACCAGGTTGCTCTCTGGAAGTTTTCTACTACTAAATCTTCAGAAGGTACTACCTGTGACATGTTCATCTTTCTTTTTGCATTGTGGCTAGAGTGGGATTTCGTCTAATGATTTTTACTGTGCAGATACAAGACCTTTACTTTTCTTCGGCGCAGATACAGCTCCTATTAGGGCAGTTGCATGGGCTCCTTGTGAAAGGTAGTGACTGGAAATCATACCCATAGATGAATAATTATCCTTTTCCGCTTTTGCGTTCATTCAATTGGAGACTAAGTGGAATAATTGTAACGGGGAAATCAACTTAGACACTAATTGTAGGGACTCACAATAGATTGAATCATAGCTTTCACAGATTTTCTCTTTTATCCTCCGGTGAGATGTAGGCATGTAGCTACTCCAGGAGCCACCAAGTCTCTTTGTTTGATTCCGCTTCTTATTTGGTCTTGGTTTTCAAGTTTGGAATCGATTAGGCTTTGTCATTGGCTTAAATAAAAACCACTGTACTGTTTTTCTTTTTGTTTGGACTTCAAATTACTTCTACACAGTCTTCCAGTACTAATTAAAGAAACTTCTGAAAATTTTCCAGTGATCAGGAAAGTGCAAACGTAATAGCTACTGCTGGACATGGAGGACTCAAGTTTTGGGACTTACGGTACACCTCAGGGATTCACTACGTTTCAGCTAACATTATTTTCAAAAACTTTTGAGGCTGATTTTAAAACTACGGTCATGTCTAAAGTTTATTTTGTGTTTTATCTCATGCCATAGCTTATTGCTTGCTTCCTATGTGTGTTTCTTCCAGTGATCCGTTCCGTCCTCTATGGGATTTGCATCCAGTACCAAGGTTCATTTACAGCCTTGATTGGTTACAGGACCCAAAGTATCAATCATTTCTCTATGCTCAGTTTATTACTCTGTGTTTAAATCAATCGTTGAAGTCCTGATTAAACCTGGGTTTCAAATATCTGCAGATGCGTTTTGTTGTCCTTTGACGATGGGACACTAAGAATCCTAAGCTTGGTGAAGATTGCGTACGATGTTCCCGCAACTGGGAAACCTTATCCCAACTCAAAACAGCAAGGGTTAAGCGTTTATAACTGTTCAACTTTTCCCATCTGGAGTATTCAAGTATCACGACTAACAAGTATGTAAATGTTCTTTTATAGGTTTTGTGTTTAAATGTAATTGCTCATACTCATCATAACAAAGAAAGTCACTATGACATCACATGAATTACAATTTACATCAGCTCGAGACTTAACTCTTTCAACTTCTCAGGCGAAGCAGCTTATTGCACTGCAGATGGCTCCATTGTCCATTTCCAGGTCTGTGTCTAAAAAGCAATTGATATCGCACTGTACTATTACTTCACCTCATCTGTTCTTTGATATTTTTTTTTAATTGTCCTTTTGTCTTGTCGGACTCGCAGCTTACGACGAAAGCAGTGGAAAAGGACACAAGAAATCGGACTCCACACTTTCTCTGTGGAAGGTTCACAATGAACGATTCCACCTTTACAGTGCATCGTCCATTGCCAAAACCGATCAATTTGAAGAAACCGGTTGGTGAGACCGGTGAAAAACAGAGATGCCTTGGAAGTCTCTTGAATGAATCTCCTAACCGATACACATCTAATGTTTCAGATGTTCAGCCTCTGGGTCAGTTAAAAACTCTACCATGGATTTTTGATCTCTCCAGTCCCTTGGTCTCCTTTAGTCCTTACCTTGGGACTGGTTTACTTGAATTTTTGCAGCTTTTGCACACGACAAGGATATAGGTTTGGAGTCTGAAACCGAGGAAACAAACAACAAAGCACCAAAACCAAAGGCTAAAAAAGGAAAGAACAATCCAAGAGACGAGGAGGAAAACAGAGGAGCACTGGTCTGTGTTAAAGAAGATGGCGACAAAGAAGAAGTAAGTAGAAAGGAAGCATGTAGTAGCGGAATGAAAGCGGAAGGATTCCCTCCTAAAATGGTGGCGATGCATCGCGTGCGGTGGAACATGAATAAAGGAAGTGAAAAATGGCTATGTTATGGTGGAGCCGCCGGGATTGTTAGGTGTCAAGAGATTGCTACACTTGGTTTGGGTGCTAAACCAAACAGGAGACCTCAGAGATAAAAGTAGACATCGATGGATATTGCTCTCATTGAGGTTGTACAAGATACAAGATTGGTACTTTTAACATCTACAAATTTAATCTAAAATAAATAAATAGTGTCTTTTTTTTTTTTTTMTTATAATAAGATCGAAGAGGACCCAATTTATAACACTGATTCAATCCAAAACCGTTTTGATTATGCCATAAAGAAGGGAACAAACCCTGAAAACATGTTATAGAACTGATCAAAATCGGAACCGTAGCTTCCACTAAGAAGCAAACAGATTCCGTACGTTCTTACAAACTGGCATTTCTTAAACTTGTGCCCTAAATCTTACAATGGTACAACATTTGCTCTTACCTTGTAAAAACCAAAAAAACCTCGAATACTAATCTTAGATGAGTATAATAGTAATCCAATTTTGTTTGTTGGATGAGTATGACTCTTGACTTTAGTGTTTCATAATGAAAAGCCGAAACAAATGGAAAAATGTCCCGGACAAAAAAAGGGATCATGAAGTACCAACCTTTAGTGTTGCAACTGGTAAGATGATGAATGTATGTGTAATGTTGTTACACTTGCATCCGACATTGGCGACCATGGAGGTTCTTGAGCCTAGTGAGTTCTTTCCGCCTCTTTCTAGCTTCGGCTGCAGCCAAAGATCCTTGCTTTTTTCCTGGTAGAGAAATCAAAACATGATGACCAGGCGGCATCGGTGCGTCTCCATTAGTCGACTCATTGACATCTTCATGCTTGAAACTATGAGCTTGATGCGTTACGGGAAAACCATCTCCTCCTTCCGAGAGGACTTCAGTTGCAGATTCATTGAGATCATACAAAGGTCTGGTTTCCGTTGAACCAGAGTCCTCATCTTTGATTCTAGTTGGTATATGAGACCGCAGAGCTTTTGTGACCTCAACAGGTATTGCAGAAGAATCATCGATATGGTGTCCGTTTGAAGAATCATCGACATGGTGTCCGTTTGAAGAAATACCTCTTTGTGCGTCTTGAAACCCGAAGGGTACACCATTGCTCTGATCTGGAGGAGGGAGAAACCAAGGGCATGGGACAACGTAGAAATGAGTTTTCTGCCCGTTATCATCTGCAGGATTTTCATGCTCTTGCGAGGTCAGGGTTTTAACAGTAGCTCCTGCAGAGGTGGTGAATGGTGCTGCGAAACCATTACGGGTTTCGATTGATGATTGAGTAACATGAGGCCAACAGAAAAGCTGATATGGATTCTGGTTGTAAAGGTAAAACGGAGTAGGTGATGTAGACATCTCAACTTCAGCTTCTTTTGTATCAGGTTTTATCGACTTCGATACCTGCAAAAATAATTAGCACATGAGATATGGCAGAGATGCTGAGAAATAATGCTCGTGATACTGATGTTAGATAGAGATTGTAACCTGTTCCTTTAAATGCTTGTTGATTGTTTCCAATGACTGAAACTCTTTCAAGGCCCAATCTTTTTCCTGCCAGCAGGAATGTCATTAGCTATAACAACGATCTCACAAGTTCCCTATTGCTCGGCCGAAAAGAAAGTAAATCGAAATGGTTTACTAACCCTCCTAAGATTCTCATTCTCATATGTCAGATCAGCTGCTTTTTTACTCAACTCCTCACACATTGCCTGGTTAAATAACGAATAAATACTTATTATGCAGCAAACTTTCCGAATATGGACCTTAATGATTACATAATTCAAACTACGCATAGCCCGTCGCCCAATGCTAACTATACCTGTCTTCGCCGAATGGTCTGCCTAGCAGATTCTCTGTTAGCTAATATTCTTCGGATTCTACGCTCTTCTCTTTCAGCCTAGAC